TTAGAAGCAACTAGAGCAGCAAACTGCCGGCTCCGAAAGCCCTCATCTTCATAGAGGACTTCACTGCAAAGAGGAGAGAGAAACGTATCAGTTCTGTGTGCTCAGTTCCCTTTAAGGCCATGTAACAGCTTGGTTGAACACACATCTTTGGGACTATAGCTCCAACCCCACACTCACTTACATTAATGCTTTCCAGAAAATACGGAGCTAGATGCTGTACTAGCCAGTATCAAGCAACCCACAACTACACCCACTTAATCTCTTATGTTCTTTTTAAGCAGTACACCCTGAAGTAATAAGTGTGTTCTCTTACATTTTGTCCACTGACTCAGAGATTTCTGCCCAGAAGTCATTGACGACAGCATTCAGCTTGTGAAGAGCAAACTCCTACAAAAAATAATAAATATTACATTACACACACAAAAAAATATTTATTACCTTTACCCAGTAAAAATGAAGTACCACCTAATACCGACATCATAAACAATGACCCATTTCAACAGCAAATTCTACTTTAAAAATCTTTGCAAGTCCTTTGCAAATAAAGAGCTGTTCATTTAACCTGTAGGACAACCCTGATGTTCCTTCCCATGGCCCCTATGCTGCTGTTTTCTTCTCTTACTGCTATTGTGACTTCTTTTTTCCAAGTGAAAACTGTAACTGCGATTTTCTTTTACATTGCTTAAATTATGCTAAAAACTTGAAACGTTCTTCAGATTTGAATTTTACGTAGTCAAAATGCAGTCTCTAGAACACTTCTAAGCAACAAAGCCCCATTACCATCAGAGAGCTGGGAGCTTTGGTGAATAGAGATCTTTGCATGTGAAGCTCCAGTTTGATCCATGTTCAAAACAAGGAAGTTCACCATCTGTTATCATGTTATTTAAACCCTTCCTTTCAGCTTTCAGGCTAGATATCATTTGGGGCCCACCTGTTGCTCTCCAACTGTTAATTATTGAGATCCACTCATTTCTGATTTTAAGCTCTCAACATAATGCAGTAGCTGTTATTTGATCCCAGGTGTAAGAACTTACCTTGAGCTGTGGCTCTTCTTCATCCAGAAGAGAGATAATTCCAGCTGCAAAACAAGATCATAGTCATTTTTAGAGTCTCTCTATTTCAGAAGTGAACAGGTTATTTAGTTCAAAGCAAACAAAACAGGAAAGAAGGCTGTCTCTGGAATGCTGGTATTAAAATTCAAAGATCAGATCTAAGTCTGTATTAAATGTGATATAAGATAGTTCAGAATTTATAACTGAAAAGGTACACTTCTTATAAGAGGTGATACTTCTGCACTATGTACTCGACAGGAACGTAGAGAACCTGGGATTTACTTCCAGCTCCATCAGTAGTTTGCTGACTGCTTTCTAGCAAGTCACTTCGCACTTCCCCAAGAAGTGTATAGATCATCATGTCAGAACACCCAAACTTTTTTCATGCCAAGAAAACAGGCCTCATGGCTAAGAGAATATGTTATACCTTGGAGCTTTAACAAGATTTCTGACACTGTACCAGAACATCTGTACAAACAGCTACAGAAATATTGTTTAACTGACATAACTGAATGAAAGGTTCACAGTCATTTGGGGAGTTCAATCTGAAGAATGGTTACAGATTATTTCATTATCAGACTTCAAGAACGCAACTGAAAGGTTTGGAATAGGATCTGATCAAAGTCCAACACAATTCAGTGCTTTTCATCTTTCATCTGTTTTATAGATTGATAACCTTAAGACATAAATTGGAAAGGTCAGCAACCCTACTGGATCAAAAGATGTCGACAAACCTAAAAGGAGAGTGTGCAGGTCAAAACTAAAATGTACAAATATAGAAAGGAAACTGAGCAGTACAGTAGATTAAGACGAAACATGATCAGTGGTATCATATGGCTGCAGTGGAAGGCAGAGAACCCCAACTTCACACTGAGGTGTGTAAACGAGAGCATTTCTTGGCAGATATACGAGGCGATCTTTCCCTCTGCTTGGCACCAACACGTCTGAGCCAGACCGCTGTGTCCAGTGCTGGGCACCATGTTTTAAGAGTTATGAGCAAACCAGGGTGTTCAGAACTGAGTGGTAAGAACACAGAGTTCTAGCAGTCCAGACTTACGAAGGTTGATTGTGAGTAACTGGTTAGTCTATGGAAATCTGGGAAGAGTACAGAGTTCCTACATGTACAGGGCAGCTGCCCTCAGAAAGAGAATAACTTGATCTTTGTGTCAGACACAAACAGGAATACTGAAAACAAGCTTTATTTGGAATTTTAAAGACTGAGGTTTGATGGTAAGAAAAGTATCTTTTTCTGACAGTAAGACAGTTATTCGCTTTGCCTGACAAGGTTCTAGAACCTCCATTATCAGAGATTTTTAAAAATCAGGTTAGACACCTGTCCGTCAGCAACAACAACTGAAGGAGCACTGATGTGGCCCACAGGCAAAGAAGGCAGGCTCAGTAGCCCACCCCACAGCACTCCTTCCACCTGTTTTCTGCACCTCTACTCCAAATGTATGAGGATTCTTTTTTATTTTTTAATTTTTTTAAATAAGCTTCTCCATTTACCCAATCTATCAAGAGTAGCAATCTCACTGCTATTCAACACATCATTTCTACCTTTTATAAACCCCTTTGAAATTAATTCCAATTAAAAACAAAAAGACCTAAACATAAAGCAAAGTGTTCAGAAAAAGAAAGCTACTTGCAGACTATTAGCCTCTGCACTGTTTCTCTCACAAAGCCACAACCAATCACATATTAATAATTTCTGAATTAAGTACTTTTGGAAATACTCCTTATATTTTCTTACACTGTGAAGCTCTCAGAGGATCCAGAAACAGCGTTTAACACTTAATTCCTCACACCCTTCATTAGCCTGAACTCTTCGGGCTGGCTTTTCCTCTGCAAGGTGTTTTCCTCTGCCTTTCTGACCCCCTCCAAAGTTCAAGTCTGCTTCTTCCCCCTTTCTCATTCTCTGCTGACCTCCTACAGACCCCCCCTGCCCACCGGCTTTACACCTCCCACGCCTTATTCCCTTTAAGCTGGTGAAAGCCTTCAGCTCACCCCAGCGCCTGAACCACCAGGGAGCCCTCATAAAGTACCGGCAGGAGGTGGAGGCGGCGCCGGGACAGGCCAGCCGCCTCTGCCTCCCGCTCATCCCCACCGAGTCCGCCGGAAAGCCGGCCCCGCTCAGGCCGCCGCAGCAGGCGGGGGAGGGCGGGAAGCCGCGCCGGGGCACGGGCGGGCACCGGGTACGGGGCAGCCCCCCCCCCGGCTCCCGCGGCTCAGGCTCAAAGTGCCACTTGTGGCGAGCCGCCGGGCAGCGGGCTGGCCTCCCGCTACCACCGGGACGCACGGCGGCTACCGGCCAGGGGTGACCGGGGCGAGGGGGAGGCCCCCGTGACGGGCGACCCCACGGAGCGCTGCGGCCGGCGCCCCCGCGGCCTGCGGCGGTGCCCAGTCACGGCCCTGACTCAGCGAAACACCGGCGGGCAGCGCTGCCCGGCGCCGCTTCCTCACCGGCCGAGGTGATCATGATGCCGTCCGCCCGGCTCGCGGAGGGAGGTGGGGTCCGCTCCGGCCCGCTCCAGCCCAGGTGCGGTGGTGCCGCCGCCGCCCGGGGTCCCCGCCGCGCCGCTGCCGTTCCGCCGCCGCCCGGCCCGGAAGTGCCGCGAAGGGCCCCTTCCGGCAGAACCCCGCCGCTACCTGCTCCCGGGGAAGGTGCCCGTGGCGATCGCCTGCGCGGGGCGGCCGGTAAACAGCCAGGCGCGAGCGGGACAGCTCTGTGGGGCCTCGCAGCTTCCGCTGACCTCTCACAGCCGGCTCATGGGCTTCGGCGGCTCCTCACGGACCCCACACTGAGCCTACACCGCCTCCCCCTACCTGCACCCCGCTGCTCGGGGGAGATAAGGGCTGTGGGATCCCCACGGGTGACCCCGAAAATGCCCACGTTTGCGCTGTACCCTTCGGGCAGGCCGCACGCTTAGGTGGTAGGTCCCCCCTGCCAGCACAGGGTGCCCGTAGCAGGGTGGCGTCTGTGGGGCACAGACGCGTCGCACGGCATTGCAGGAACCAAGGATTTTGCCCCATGGATTTGCGGCCTCTTGCAGGCCGCCCCTGTGGGCCCTGAGTTCTCTCACAGAGCTTGTGGCTGGAGGGAAAGGCCTCACCCGAATCCATTTCTCCCTTAGATAGGGGAGGAGGTGTACAGATGCAGCTGACAATGCCCAGATGTCCCACATCTGTGTGTACCGAGATGCCCTGTTTCATTTAGGCTACTACTTTTGACAGATGGAAAATTCAGGCTGGTGGATCTGCACCAAGAAAAGCCCAGCTCGACTGCAATGGTGCTGGACAACAAGAGATCAAAGCACTCGGGTTTCAGTGGCATTGATTTCTGCTTGTTTCTACCAAACAGGAAAAAATACTTTCAGAAGGGCTTGAACTCCTTGAGGAAACCTGATTTTTCATCCCAACAGCCTCGATGGTCTGAAGCCAAAGTGACCTCTCAATTACACACTATGATTTGCAGCTCCTCCAAATCACTGTGGTACTCACATATGTGGAAATTATCTATGTCCTGAATGAATCTTATAGAAATAAGGTCCTGTGTTTAGAGGACCTTGTAAGGACTCAGAAGAGGTGAAGTTTCCTTTTCTGCTAACAATTTCCTGTTATATCATAGGGCGTATTCAAAGGCCCCTCACCTCTCTTAGTCAATGTTATTAATGAAAGTTGTAAGAGCCCTACTCACAACACTGGGGGGGTCAGCCCCGCTCTTCTCAGACAACTGAGAAGGTCTCCAGCCTTCCCCACTGTCCCCAGGTGAGCAGCTTGCCTGAGCTGCACGCAGACCAGTTCTGCTGGGTAACATATACTGGGGTAATATCCATTCCCATCCAATATACCTTTTATTTAAATGAAGAGAAATGACAGTTAAACCATGCATAATGCTACTTTAAGGGTAACACCGTGGCAAGCTAAAAAACAAACTAAAGCACACTGCAATTCAGAAATTAAATGTCTTTATTCTTTACAGCAAGCACATAAGATAACCGTGCCCTTAAATTATGAAATCAATTAAACATGTCATTCTGTCTGCTGCACCTCTGCATGCCCAGCTAGGAAAAAAATAATAATAAATTCAAGTCACTTTTATTCCTCAGTCATGGGAAAACAATACTTCTGGTCAGATGTATTCCCACTCATACCTCCTAAGCCCCAAGCAGTTCATCCACTTCCACAAAAGTCTCACTGCAAGGGTAAACTTGCATGATTTACTTAAGAATTACCAGTGAATAAATCCATTGGATTTGTAGCACTAAGATAGGTTTCACTGAAAATCTGTACTCTTGGGCCACTTCTTCAATGGGTAAATTCTAGGTGGCAAAGGCCAAATACTGCAAGAAAATAAAGATTGACCTGATCATACTCTCAAATCCTACTGGACTCACCGAACTAAGGGCTTTACCAGGAAAGTATGTAACTGCCCAACAACCAGGGCTCTGCTGTGAGGACAAGCAGAGGGACTCAAGGCCAGGCCGGATGGGGCTTCCAGCAAGTCTACTGGGAGGTGTCCCTGCCCATGGCAGGGGGCTTGTAACTCGATGATCTTTAATGTCACTTCCGATCCGAAACATTCTATGACTCTATAACTCCACTGCACAGCAGACCTACACGCTCATGCCAGGGACAGAGCAGAAGGATACCTTCATCTCACTGAGATGCACTTACTACTCTGTGCTGAAGCCCCAGGGTCGTGACTACAGCCACCCACACTCATATTTTCCACCTGATCAGAAGCAACAAAAACCTACAGAAATCCTGGAGGCTGGAAGGAGAGTGGTTTTGGTGCCTTCTCTGCTGAGCAACACGCTCCACCAATGTCAGCTATCTCCTAGGTTCGCTCTCCCCAGCCCACACCCACACAGGAAAGTGTTTCTGCTGGGAAGAGGTGGGACGTGTGCTTCCCCAGACGCTGCTCACAGGGACTTGGCATCCACCTACTCCCTCCCTCCTGCCTTATGGAGCAGCTACAAGAGCACCGTACGCCTGCATTTCAGGTGAAGTTTCCTACATAGAGCAAGTCTAATTACTGTAACATTCAAACGAGCAGCATGGTAACAGAGAAACTTGCTGAGCACACCTGGAAATGCTCCCCATCTCTCCCACTCAACCTCACCAGCATGGCCCGGACACCCTCAGCCACTCTCTCCCAGCCAAAAGGGCAAAGCACCATCACAAAAGGGACCAACTCTAAGCCCAAGAGCTGCTAAGCTCTGCTCCAGCATTACCAGCATTACTCAAGTGAGGTAGGTAAGTATTGCTGTCCCCACCCTACTGCTGGGGAAACTGAGGCACAGAAAAATGGTTTGTTGAAAAATTTTGAGATCATGATCTCCAAGTAAGAACGAGAGAGATACTTAAGGCACACTGCTGGGAGAGAGCACTGGCCAGAGCTGGCAGGACTGCAGACCGTTCAGCTGCCACTGGCAAAAAAAAGGAGCGAAAGAAAGGACAGACGTGCACGGAGAACATATTGCCGTAATTCAGCAGCTGACCCAGAGCAGAGGTAGGCAGGACATGACAGGCTGAAGTTTCTGGCCTGAAACAAAGTTTCTGTCCCAAACAAAACCCAGCTTGTGCTAAAAATAAAACAAGACCTCTTTTATGTTGCATTAAAGTAAAAATAAAAAAAGTATTACTATCATTATAATAATATTACTCATAAACCAAGGATTTGTAATTGCCCCACAGGCTACAGGCAGCCCTTTGGAACTACTTAAACAGATTATTTTTATATTTTTATATTTATTTATGAAGCCACATCTGGTTGAGAGGAATGCTGCAGGTCACCTCCAAGACCATCACTGCAGAGATGCCCAAGGTAAGATGGGCCTTTCCCGTAACCCCATCTAGCATCAGCCACACCATAGTGTCTGTCTGCCACCCCTTCTAACCCAGACGGTCCATCAGTCAGACTATGAGCACCAGGATAAGCCAGAGGGATGGATTCTGCTCCCAAATCACACTCTGCTCCAGCTGCCATTACTATCAGTATCTTTTGCATTGTTCTTGCTACCCAACAGTGGGCTGTTATTGCATTTCTTCACATTACACAGTTACATTCAAGCCTTTTCAGTAGCCAGTAGAACTGAGAGCTCCTATTTAGTCCCATTGCAGTCTCCATGCCACTGCTTATTATTTGTCTTTCTTTTTTTTTTTCTTTTGCCTTATCAGAGAGACGGTGGGAACTTCAAAGCAGCAATGTAACAGGAAAACAAGGCAGCAGAATCTGTTTGCCAGGGAGGCCAGCCCTGGCAATCTCAGCAGGGAGCTTTGCTCAGAATTAGAAAGTGTTCATCTTTCTTCGAACAGGTGACTACATTTCACACCCAAAGTCCCCGCATCATCTCGCCCAGGACATGAGACACATCCCCAAAGGGCTTCCCAGAAGTCCAGTGTCCATCAGCAGCTCCAGGCACCCCCGGGTAGCAGGGTGCAGCAGGGGATGGCTCTCTGGCATGGACCTCAGAGGTCGTTGGCAGCTACAGAAGACCCTGGCAAGTTAAACCGAGCAGCTTCTCCCCAGAGCAGTGGGTCCTCAGAGGAGAGGGGGAGTGTACACACACCAGCTCCCCCTCCCACGGCTCCAAATTCACCAGGCAGAACCAGGAAACGGACTTTGCTGGGCGCCCAGCAGCTCTAGGTGCCCGTGCGTCCAGCAGCTTCTTCACAGTTTCCATTGGGAGACAGGCTGGTCAGAGCCACTTCTTCCTCGGGGTCCTGCCGGTCATCTGCAAAGAGCAGAGAGAGGTGAAGGGAGATCTGAATGGGAAACTCCTCTTCATGCAAAATGCAACTTAAAACAACATGAAAAAAAACTATGGGACAAAGCAAGTGATATATCACCACGACCTCAACACAGCTGATTTTTTTCATAACTGATTTTCATTTTGTTTTACAAACTCAACATTGCTTCAACAGACAGGGGTGATCTGTGACCAAAGGAGGATGGGACCGAGCTCCCTGGCCTCCTGCAGTCTCAGCAACCTCAGAACAAGCTGTATGGCCATGAAGCATCACTTGTCTAGCACTGACTGCAAGATCAGACACTAAAATTTTTTTACTTTAGAGGACATGTCTCAAAGCTGCAGAAACATCTCAGTTGTTTTCTCAGACCTTTACGCTTTTTACAGTGGAGGAGCTTCCCCTCATCTACATGCTCCATAGAGCAGTCTGGATCTCTACACCATGCACCTTGTAGCCTCCTGTGTGGGAGCTCTCTGCAAAAAGAAAATCACTGCTGAGAAAGGCGAGCAGAAATGCCAATGGTACAGCAAAGACTGAACGCTGGGCTATTCAGTACCTCAACAATTTCCTTTTGAATTAGCCCAAGGCTGACCACCCTCTTCCACCTCCCTCCCAGCCCCAAATGCAAGTAGTTTGGGAACGGTCCTTCCAGCTGCGTTTGCAGAAAACATCATGTAAGATCAGGGTGATGCTTCCAATTTATTGTTTAGATGGACAGCAGTTGTGCTGCCAGGTACTTCTGCAAAGCACAGCTGAGCCCAGCAGTGTTTCTAGGGGTGTAGTTGGGCACTGGACCCAGCGTGTCTTTATTTAGCCAAGTGAAAGGTCAAAAAACAAGGAGACAGCAACACAGCAGCCAAGTGTGCGCTGTTTGTCTTCAGGTTCTGGCCAAGCCACAGCAAGGGAGGAGACATCAGATGAGATAACTGGAAACAGCTTATGGAGGCCACCAGCAAGGGATTTGGGCCCAAGGACCACCAGAAAGTCGGTGAGGAACCTCTGACAGACACAGCAGGAGTACAAGGGAGGGAACTGGACATACCTTCATGAACATTGTTTGCATCTTTTGCTTCATGAGCTTTTCTCCGGCTCCTCCGGCTCCAAGAAATGCACCGCAGGAAGGATAGGAGCCTCCACCTCTCCCTGTGTTTCCCCTCTTCTGGATAAACCAGAGAAGACAAGTTCTGGTCAGGCAGCAGGTCAGCCCTGTTGCTCCCCCACCTCCCCGCTGCTGACTCACAACCATCTCCCCTCCATGAGCCCAACTCCTCGTAGCGAAACTGGGTCTGCTCCACAGAGCCCACCCCTGGAAAGCACAGAAGCAGCTCAGGGTAATTCTTCTTTCAGGCTGAAAACCCTCTGCTTCCTGGGAAATTTGTCCCTGGTGTGGGTTTCCACTTTTCCACCTCGCTGCCAAAACCATCCTGGATGCGGCAGCCCAGAGCGAGCAAGAAGTCTGGCAGGAGCCCAGCTGGCACACGTGGCACGGCTGGGGACTGACACAGTTAGGGCATTCCTGCAGAAGGAAGTTTTTCTTTGGTATTATCACACGGCTTCTGCCACATCAACCTATTCACTGCTCCCTGCTTTATAAAGCAATTCCTCCCTCCCAGGGAGACCTGCTGGACACACGGACTTGCAGCACACTGACACCTATCGCAGACACTGCTGGCAAAATGCAGAGCCTACGTGGCCTCCATTGATGTATAGTATTTATTCTGGAGGACAACGAAGGTCACAGCAAGTTACTACAAGCTTTAAAGCCATTATAGTAAAGCACTACTGCTTGTAAAACACTACAGCAGCTTATTTTATATGGTGTCCAACAGGAGCAGTTCAGCATCTCCATTGAAATATCATCTAGCCTTTCACCTCCTCATCAGATAACAAACGATAAACCACTTCAGTGTCCTTCAGCTTATCAGACCATTGCGACACTGAAGGGTTCACAGTGGCAGCGTTTCCTGCAGTCAACAAACCAAAACCTCCAGCCATAAACACATCCCCCCCTCGCAGTGCACGGGGACTCTGGACACCACTGAGGCAGGACAACAGCCCAGCACGTTCCTGCTTAGACCTGAGAGATGCAGGAACCCCACTGCCATTCCTGTCCCAGCTCCACTGCACAAATGACAGTGTCTGGGACATTCCCAGCACAGCAGGGCCTA